ACTAAAAAAGCAAACATACAACAATGGCTGGCCTCAAAACAGATCGATTTTGATGAAACAATGGTCAAGGGTGAATTGATAAGTATAGTCAATAGACATAAATACAAATACGATTTTAAAATGATCGACGAAATGGCCAAAAAACAAAATAAAACTGTCTTGAGACTGCCACCCTACCATTGTGAGCTGAACCCTATTGAGCTGATTTGGGCCAACATAAAGCAATACGTGGCGTCGAATAATAATACTTATAAATTTTCTGATGTTAAAAATCTCTTTCACATCGCAGTCAATAGAGTTACGGCAGAGGAATGGAAAAACTGTATCCGCCACGTTCGGGAGAAGGTTGAGGTCAAAATGTGGGATTTGGACAATGTCATCGATACCCAAATTGAACCTCTAATAATTCATTTAAACGATTCAGAAGATTCAAGTTCCTCTTCTGAATGAGTGCGCGCAGCTTACTTACTAATAACTAAAAAGTGTAGTTAACTCATTTGTGAATCTCTAACTGAAATTTACTGTAAAAGATAATAATTATCTTGTATGAAATTTTTGATGACTACCCATAATATCTTGATGCGGTCCTGTAATGTCTCCTGCGCCTAAACACTCACTCACGAGCAATATGCGTGTATTTGTTTGGGTTTAGTTTCTTTCTTCAGCGCCTAGAGAATAGTTGGGTCACTAATTTACATATTCGTAGAAACTCGGAAAGAAATATAAGCCATTTATAAATACCAGTATCTTCCTAAGAGTTGACAATAATAGCTGGGATAATGTGTTAATCATATTTTATCAGGCTTTTGTACCATAAAATTCAACAATTTTGAAAGGTAAATATAATCAAAACTCATCCAGATATATATTTATTAGTATTTCAAGTTTCATAGAACAAAAAACATTAAAAAATGTGAAAAAAAGATTTGATAAATTAAAAATATCTCCTAATTTCACACATATATAGAACAAGTTGGCAAAATCACAATATATGCATTTTGCAGAAAAGCATTGCACTTTGCCTCGTCTCTCTCCATATACATATATTTATAACGCGCATCACAGATTTTTCCTCTTATTATATTTATACAACTACCCGGTTTCAAAAGCAAAAAAATATATTGGACAGTGTGAATCTAACAATGAGACTTCATTTCCGGTTACTAACATCTCAGAGGTTCCCAAAAATTAACAACAATTATAATACATAAAATAAACTTCGCATAATATTAGCATTTTTTGAAACTCCATATAGGCGCAACATTTTTCTATTCCAAGAGGAATGCCATCACTTTTTTAAATAATTCATACTAGAACAACTGATAGAAAACAACTTCTTTTAGGTTATCAACAGATTTGGACTGATTTGTTGTTTAGATACAGGGTGTTTTTAATGGTAGGTCATAATTACAAGTGCACTTTCCCGAACCAGTTTTCAGTAGAAATGTTCATAATAAATAAGCATAATCATGTTCTGTAGTATGGTATTCATTCAATTGAATTCAGGCTGACTAAAAGGTTAATATGAATTCTATCTGTCGCTCTGTCCACTAATCCTTGGACCACTTATTACTTGGAAAGTACTTCTCGGATTTGGATAACATTTTTACACAAAGTTACTATTATGCTAAGGAGAAAAAATCTTTGAAAATTGGTCCGGTTGCAGCGGAGAATAAGGCCAAAAATGAAGAAAATAAAAATTCGGATCGCGTGCCAATCGGCCGCGTTTGTTTCTGCTACCGTCGACGCGCTGGTCTTGGTAAGTGCTCTGGTATTACTGGCACAAAACATAACAGCCGCGTTTGTCTGAGTGACGTCAGGTATTGGCGAGAGGCGGCTTGCCAGATGGACTATCGGTAGGGCAGGGACTCAATGTCTATGAACTAATTGTAAGGACCTGTGTGACTGACTTTTTTCTCAGAGGGGCTAGTTTCCTCTATCCTCTATGAACTTATAACGGTATTGCATGAGAAGCGCAGAGTCAAACGAGTGGGCGCCAATTTTTTAATCTACGGTTTTTTACACGTCACACATCTACCGTTTTCCTCCACATTCGCTACGTCAGACCTTCCATGCGACTGGAGACTTGTTCTGTTATTAGCTTAGATATTTCTAAGCACTGGACGCCACATTGCAAGTGAATAACGCCATGGCGAAGTCGCCAGCATCCGAAGACATACTGACCTTTTCTCTCGGAGGGGATAGCTTGTGCTGAAAAGAATGCTTCATGAACTGATGACGGAGTTGCGTGGGAAGTGCAGAGTCAACTTACTTGACGTGATTTTTCAAAGTCAGTGGCGTACATTTTATATGTCAACATTATTTGTGGGACCGACCCTCGAGACGCGACTGTAATTCGTAATTATCGTAGGTGGTAGACGGTCTCTGACTGTCGAACGCGGAGGTACCACCCGGCGGATCTCGTAGTCGGAGCCAGAATGTGTGCATGTTGCATGCACAGGTGTTCCCTCGTCAGAGTCCGTGTGGCGTTCCCCCTTTCCCCTGTATCCCCCTATAGCCCCACGGCACCCAATGGGTGTTTAGGCCTTAGGCCTTCGTGGTAGTTGGAGTATAAAAAAAAATCTCCTAATTAGTACTTAGTACTTATTTAGCATCTTAGTGTAATGAATTGCACTGACAAAATAAACTGGCACATAGATTTTTAGATATTAATAAAAAACAATCATTTCTTCAAACTTTAACAACCTCCATCATAGAAAGCAGACTTTTCAGGACACACGTTTATATCAAATCTTTGGCTTAAATTTGGATCAGGAATGCGGCCTTATAATTACGGTCTCTCATTAAGCAACACACCGTGTGTACGTTCATTTAGCAATAGAGTGTAAAAGATTAAAATACATATACCTAGATCCCTAGATGACAAAAATTATTTGAATAAAATCACAGAACAGCAACGAAGCATAGCAAGCTTGTGAACCATAGTAAACAACAGAATCAATAATGGATTTTTAAGAACCTGATACTATTTGAAATGAAAATGGAGAAAATTCCGAGAGGTTCGCCATTTTAGATACTTAAAACTAATTGTTGACCTAAACATAGGAACCGCTGTTGAAACATCATAACTTTGACTCACACTGTAATCTTTAAGAAGAAGCACACATACAGAAAGATACATTTAACATTCTATTTAATAGAAAATCCAAGCTATTTATACCAGGCATTTAAAAAAATACATACAGGAGAATATATGTACAATTCTTTTACTCTAAACGAGTACAAAATAAATACAATATTTATACAGGAGGGTGACAATATACACATAGTATACTAAATTTCATTAATTATTATTATAATTTTGTTGTATGTCTAAACCAAGTACGGTCCCTGAGTCATTTGATAATAAATATATCTTACATAATTCTAACTCAGAATGAGTATCAATATTTTATAAAAGTCAAAACTCAGACACTGATAGTACAGATAGAAAAATATGAGCGTTTTATATCCAGAATTAAACAGAAAAAATAAGAAATAAATCATCTATGCTTAAAAAATATATTTTAATATATCCGCTGGTAGCTCATTTTATTCACACAATTGTTTACAGTTCTATCTGTACTATCGACCTCTGTTGGTAAAAACTCATAAAAAATAACTTTAAGGATCCTTTTATACTAATTGTCTACAGGGTGTACGAAAAAACAAATCTATATTCTTCTAAAGATATATACAGCAGACAACACGCCATTTCCTACACAAACAGAATAAAGTTAAAAAAATATAGACCTTAAAGCCCGCATGATGGGAGCAAAGGATGTTAATAGAATTATTTATTGGTCTAAACCTGCTTGTTTCACTTACTATATTTCTTCCTTTCACTAATTCTTGTACACCCTGAAAATTATGTTACATAAAACTATACTAAATTTTAGCGATGCACAGAGTCCTCTGTACCCGGTACTTGGCCCATTTTATGGAGTACCCGGTTTTGCCGAGTATTAAATTACTCTACTAAACGATGTTCTCCAAGATTAACACATCATAAAAAAACTCGTAACCACGGTTACAGCTAATTTTGCCGGAATCAGGGAACTAATTCGGGTGATTCTTTTAGTAAATGTCGACAATCTTCCTCAGTAAGCTTGCGTTTTCACGATATTTGGGTATCTTATTTTTTATCTACAACTACTGTTACTACAGGGTTTCGCAATAGCGATGATAGGATTTTGAAAGCTCACTGCCGCCATCTTAGTTGTCAATTTTCTGACAGCTGAGTTAATCTGTGTTCAGTAAAGCTTGCCATTTAACCATGAATAAGTTAACGTTATGTTAACTTTTGGAAATCGTCCAAATATTCTATCAAAGTTCTAGAAGTTTTGTCGCTACTCAAAGAGCATTCCGTGCTAATTATGGTCGTCATGCGGACATGGCGCACCGTCTCAACTCGCTATACGTCACATAATTCAAAAACTGGTAAGTGAATGTTCTTTCCCGATAGTAGACCACCAACCAGAATGCGATCTGGTAGTAGTGAACTGAATATTGCGGCCATATCAGCCAGTGTCGCCGAAAATGTGGCATATTTTACGTTTTGATCTCGGGCTACATCCATATAAGATGGTATTGACACAAGAACTCAAGCCAACAGACCATCGGTTGCGTCTTGAGTTTGCTGATTGGGTCCTGGAAATGATGAAAACCGATCCAGAATTTCATCTCAGATGAGGCTTATTTCTGGTTGAATGGATATGTCAACAAACAAAATTGCCGTTATAGGAGTGAGTCAAATCCAAGAGTGGTCCATGGAACACCATTACATCCAGAAAAATTCACGGTTTGGAGCGGATTATGGTACGGTGGCTTCATTGGCCCATACTAATTTAAAAACGACGAAGGCCGTACGGTTACTGTCAATGGCGAGCGTTACCGTGACATGTTGAACAAATTTGTTTTTCCTGAAGTTGAAGAAATTGATACAGATGATATTTATTTTCAACAGGATGGTGCGACATGCGATCCTGCAACTGAAACAATGGATTTACTGCGTGATAAGTTCGGCAAGTCAGTTATTTCACGAAACGGACCTCACAGTTGGCTGCCACGATCGTGCGAGTTGACACCTTTAGACAATTTTTGTGGGGGTATCTTAAAACTAAAGTGTATGCCAATAACCCAGCAACAATTCAAGACCTTGAACGCAATGTTCAATTAACTATAGTGGCCATACCAGCCGAAATGCTGCACAGTGTCATTGGAAGTTGATGTGACCGGATCAACCAGTGCAAACAGAGAGATGTATTGTTAAATCATAACTGGCATAAAAAACACTATCAAATAAAGCCAATGAGTATGTAAATTGATAATATTTTAGTTATTTTATTTCAAGTTCAAATCCTATCGTTCTTATTGGGAAACCCCTTACTATAAGGTTTTTTCATAAGAAATTAGCTGATGGAGCAGTGAGCAGTTCAATCTGATACGACATTGTAGTAATTAATGCCTTTTTTATATTCAACTTGGATTTCTATCTTTCATTTGAACACTCAAAAAACAATAAGAACCTAAATGAAATTAAACAAAATGCAGCAAATGTCGAAAAGTAAAGTGAATAACGAATATCCCTAGCCTTTGCAAAGCAAACCTTATCAAATCTGAATTACTCCCGCTATGAGATCCAGCAGTTTTAATTAGTAGTAGTCGTATTTATTTTGCTGTTGATGCATGCAATGTATATAAATACTTCAAAAGGTTCACAAATAAAGTCTAAATAGACGGTATAACAAATTACTAGTAACAATTGATTTACACGCAACTATTAAACAAAAATCTAAAAATATATATAGCACAACAGATAATTAAATAATCACAAGGTTAAGCACATATTAAATCAATGAAGATAAAAACACAGGATAGATGAAAAATTAGAAGGCACTTATGTCGTCTTCCATAAGTTCTGCACAGATGCAGTGAACATTTGATTTTAGATGGCTATAGGCGTTTTTTGAATTCAGTTGTACAGGGTGGCCAATATATAACTGATTTAAATTGCGCGCCATTTCAGTAGGTGGCGCCGTAGTAGTTGTTTAAAGCACATGTGTCCAATTCATCATCCGCGTCCGTATTGTTAAAACATTTTACTTGAATAATGAGTTGATTGTTGCAACGATTCGGAAGCTACTACAAGATTTCGGTCGAAATAATGTGCCCAGTGTCAACAGCAGTGTCAAATAAGAGAGAGTTCGTGAAAGCGTAGTGGAGCGCCCTGAGACGTCTACCAGACATCGCTCTCAAGAACTGGGTATTCGTCGCACATCATTATGCAGTATGCTTTGAAAAAAGACTTGCATTTGCGGCCATACAAAATTCAGTTAATACAGCCTAAAATAAGGTTTTTTACCGACAACAGATAATGAACGTTGAAGCCCACTTCAATATGAACGGATTTGTTAATAAGCAGAATTGTCGTATCTGGGCATTAGAGAACCCTCGTGTCATCCATCAACGACCACTACATCCTCGTCGAGTAATAGTTTGGTGCGGTGTTTGGTATGAAGGTGTCATGTCATTGGACCTTACTTCTTTGAAGGTGCTGCAGGTAATTCTCTTACTGTCACTGACAAGCGTTATCGTGATATGGTGCAAGACTTTCTGGGTTCCTCAAATCCAACAATTTGATCTGCAAAACATGTGGTTCCAGCAGGACGGAGCAACTTGTCACACAGCTAGGGAAATAATGAATCTGTTGCGAACAATATTTCCGGGACGTTTAATTTCTCAATTTGGTGATGTCAACTGGCCACCAAGATCACCGGATTTAACGGTTCCTGACAATTTTATATGGAGATTTTTGGAAAATAGGGCTTATGCCAACAAACCAAATACTGTAGAGCAGCTGAAGAACAATATTACGGAAGCGATTGAAAATATTCCTCCCGAAACCTACCAAAAAGTTATGCAAAATGTAATCAGGTTTGCGCGGCACTAGAAGCGGACATTTGTCTGATATTATTTTTCATATATAATTTCTCCAAGTTTCAATAAAAGATTAAGATCAAAAAATGGACGTATTTTATTTCATTTCACAAATATTCAAGATACAAACCAGTCAGTTACATATCGACCACCCTGTGTAACGGTAGATTTAAGTTGTTGAGTTTATATATCTTTTGCTTCATTTGTATTGGGAAGTATTGAAAAGTAAATAAAAAACATATGTTGCAAACATAAAATGTCAAGATATGGTTTCAATTTAACTTAATATTGTAGCTACCGAATTCCACTGTAAAAAAGTATTCCTAACTGTTACAGCACTTGAATATTAAAAAAGAAAAATATCCAAAAATACCGTTAATTCATTAACATCCGACGCGCCGCGACGCTGCTTTCTCAAAAAATTGTCTACGCTACGCAATTGCCTTTTGTAGTGCGTTATTTTTTTCGGAAAAGTAAATCGATTTTGAAAAGAACGGGACCTTTCAAACAAGGAAATATAATCTTAACATGACCAACAGTAGCTGACATAACCAGAAGCCAATCCTTGCGCCGAGTACCTGGTACTCAGCATTTCGGAAAAACTAGTACTCGGTACATCACTACTAAATTTTATACATACAAATGGGAGGGGAAATTGCACTCTACTAGTCACATGTAGTAAAATTTATTACAAACAAATGTATTACACAAAAATATCGTCAAATCAAAACAATTTTAAATTCAACAAAAAATTATAATTTGTTAGTATTTCTGGTCACAAGATCTTTTAGATATATCTCACCCACCTTGAGAGTTTTGATTGAAACTACGGACTCACGTCTGGTTCTAAAGGAAAAATAAGCTGGTAACTTATTTCTAATCGAAAAAATAACATACTCTTAAAATAAATAAACTATATATAAAAAATCGACACAAAGCTGTAACATAAAAATAATACGTGTGTTTAACATGTCTTTTATGTTGCACCAAACGTTTATACAGGGTGGTCAAAAATAGAATCTCCGAACAAGATATATTTCAGTCAGGTTATGTTCTTCACTTTTGTTTTTCATTAACAACCAATAAAGTATTTATAATTTTGCTTTTTTAAATAAAAAGAAGTAAACAACAAGTGTAAATCTTTTCAAGAACATAATGCTTAATTATGGGTTTATCTTAATAAATTTGATTCTAAACTTTCTGAAAGTTTTTGTATTTTATCAAATTGGAATATAAACTGAGATTCTAGCATTTTTAGTCATCCTGCACATTCCGATTATAAACATTGCAAACGAAATCACAATTGGAAAATAATATCACGCTATTTTCACCATCGATAAAAGCTTATCCCTTCTACAGGGGGCGAGGAAAAATTCGTCGTAGGACTTGAGATGTAAGCAAAAGTTTGATGATAGTCTGCTTTGGGATTGATACTTATGAAGAAATATTTTTCCACTATGCGTGCTCGAATCCCTAACAAACATGATATTTTCAGCTCCTAAGTAGTACATGAAAAGATAAACATTCTAGATACTTCTGTATTTTGATATCACTTTGAAATTAACCAAAGATTTTTATTTTGTATAATATATATGGTATTTGGTGCAATTTGGAAAATCAGTATTTACATCTCTTGCCAATTTTTAAACAATGGCCAGAACTCCCAGTCAAAAAAAAAAACACTCCCCATGAGATCTAACCGTCTGACATGCCTAGTGCTAGCAGACCTATTTTCCAACTTTTCTCATCTCATGATCCTACGACCTTTAATTTTTGTTTGCAATACCTTCCACGGGGGCCTCCTGTCACCTTCCAGGTACTGACTCAATCTGTACTCCTAAAAGTTCCTTCACTTTGGCCGAATACCGCACCAACGCTATTTTGCTTGCGCGTGTGTTGACTTTTTCACCGGAGTTGAACAGCTGGCAACAGCTCGCCTGCTCCAGGAAGTCGGACATTTTCAGTTCACGCATGGTGGACTTGTAGTTCCCAGAAGCGCCACCAGATGTTGAGGCTGGAGATGGCAGGGCGATCTGCTTCAGGAGAGCGTCCCTGGAAGAAAGAAATATGATTGAGATGGATAGGCATTAGTGAAGAGAATAGTCGTATGTAAACTAGTTTTATTCCTAATTGAAGCAGCAAAAACAATTTCGAACAAGATAAAAGGAGCAGCATACTAACTACAAGTAATGTTTCTTGAGGCACCAGTTTGACGGTGGTTGACATATCGCATTAAAGTCGTATTTTACTGCAAGGAAATATAAAAGTGCGTGGATTTCCATACAGTGTTCCAAACAGTTGCCGAAACTGGTGAAGGTTCCTTGTGGATTACAAATATATATATATATATATATATATATACATATATATATAAATATTTTTTATTGATAGGTGTCAATATAAGATGGGACAAATCTTTTCTGAGAGGAGATAAGATGGGAGCTTGCATAAGAGGGCAGCATAGTACAGCTAATCTAAAGCTTTAGTGATGTCTAAACCAATAATTATCGCGGTAAACATAAACATTCTTCGTTTACTTATTTTAAAGTCACGTTAAGGAAACTTAGCACGATATAAGAAATCTATTATATCCAATTAATTAAAGCACTCCAAAATCTGTTTGATGGATCAAGTTAGTGACAATGATACAAGAGTGATAATTGTCATGTAATGTTCAACATTTGGAAAGCTTTAGAAAAATCAAGTGTAGCTTGAGCAAGGTGCCTCACTATTTTCAAAATTAGGTATTCCGCGATTACTGTTTGATGAATACTGTTTTTCGTAACTTAACCTTCCAAAACTACAAACTAGGTCCGAATTGTTGCTGTATCGTTAACGAATATTTGCTTTCATTCGTTCGCCTTACTTAATTTATCGCAACACAGATAGTATTGTTTCTGCACGATAATACACCCAATACATCTGGCCACTTTAGCCTAATTACACTAGCAAATTTCCCCGAAATAATTGTAAAGTCTGGTTTTAGTGGTACAAGTTGTTCAAGGGGGTATTTAAAACATTGACGCATAAAATGGGTACACTAATTTTTGGGGAAATACTTTTTATTTCAACAAAGCATAACAACAACAAAATTGAGTATATTGGTCAAGTATTTTTTTTGAGAATTTCTAATTGTTTATCCCAAAACACCTGTTTTTCGGCCATCACTACTAACTTATGAGCAATATACAGGGTTCGTTCAAAATAGAAAAATACACGTGCTTACCTTACCGATATGAATCACAAACCATTCCGAAAGATAAATGTTATTTGTTATTTGTTCTAAACAAATTCAAACATTTCGTATTTGTGAGTAATGGAACAAATGCGCTACGATATTCGAAATACATATACTAAGTGACATATAAATCCGAACACCCAGTTTAAATGGTTTTATTTTAATAAAATTTGGTGAATGTATTTATCTTACTGTAAATAACAAGTGAAAAAATTTTCAGCCTTATCAGTTGGACATTCCGGTTTTTATACTGCTTTTTTTTAATTCACTAACGCTCTAAAAATGAATATTTCAGCCGCAGTAAAGAATCAACGTTGGCGGATTTTGGTTCTTGACATCCTTTACGATCGGTTACGATGCCTAGAGTACGGAGACCTGTACGATTTCGTCAACTTAGTGAGTTTGATAGGGGCCCTATAGTGGGACTTCGGGAAGCTGGACTTTCTTTTCGGGCAATTGCAGTTAGCGTGCAAAGAACACTGTGGTTAGGTGTTGTCAGGCATGGCTTCGAGAAGGCCGTACGCAAAGACCAAGGGGCACTGGACGCCGCCGTAGAACAACGGACCGTGAAGATCGCCGCCTAAGATTATTGGCCTTAAGGGACCGTTTCTCCACTACCAGGTCCATTGCAAATGAATGGTTTGCAGAACACGGAAGACCTATTGGCATGCGAAGTGTTTACCGACGAATGAGAAGTTTTGGCTTGTTTTCATACCGGCCACACTGGGTCCTCCCTTTAACTTGAGAACACCGACGTAATCGCCTTGAGTGGTTCAGACAATGGTCACTCTGAGATCAGGAATGGAACAGTATTCTCTTTCGTGACGAGTCTCGATTTTGTTTAGGCATGCACGATGGTCGTGCCAGGGTTAGAAGGCGACGTGGTGAAAGGAGGAATCCACAGTTTTTTGTTGAAAGACATGTTCATCACACTGTTGAAGTTATGGTTTGGGGTGCTATAGCTTATGATTCCAGGTCACCTTTAATCTTCATCAGAGGTAACATGATCGCGCAGCGTTATATCCACGAAGTTCTAGAACCCCATCTTTTACCCTATCTTGACACCCTGGCAGATCCAACTTTCCAACAAGATAATGTCCGACCACATGTTGCAAGAGTCACAATAGACTTCTTTCAACATAATGATGTCACATTGTTATCATGGCCACCAAGATCTCCCGAATAATCCCCAATTGAGCACGTGTGGGATATGATGGGTAGGAGATTGCTCAATTTGCAACGTCCTCCTCAGACTCTAGAAGCACGTCGAGAGGAGTTGGTGGTTGCCTGGAATGAGATACCACAGGAGGACATTGACCACCTGATCAGAAGCATGCCTAGGCGCGTTGGAGAATGCGTAGCACATCAGGGTGCATCCACACATTATTAAAGGTCAAAGGGCTTTAAAGCAGTGCAATCATTTTGAAATTTTTATCATTTACTTATTATGCTTCATTAAGTACTTATACAAAATTTTATTAAAATAAAACCATTTAAACTGGGTGTTCGGATTTATATGTCACTTAGTATATGTTACTATACACATTTTAAAACAAAGAGGATGTTTCTATCATCCTTTGTTGCGAATCACTGACAAATACAAAATGTTTGAATTTGTTTAGAACAAAATGCACAAAAATAACATTTATCTTCCGGTTGGGTTTACGATTCATATCGGCAAGGTAAACTAGTGTATTTTGCTATAAAATTCTGGGAAACAGGTGTTTTGGGATAAACAATTAGAAATTATCAAAAACTGCTTGACTAATCTACCCAATTTTGATGTGGTTATTTAGAAGTACGAATCCTACGAATTTGAAGAATTTCAAGCAACTGCGAGAAACCATCGTCAAATTACCAACAAGTGCCAAAACCTGCAGTTTGCGTCGGTTTTCGACCACAACGTTATTGCTATTAGTCGAATCTTTTTACTGGTAGTCTCATTTTGTAGGTCTCATAAACACCTAAAAAAATCTTATTCCCACAAAAATTGATGTACCCATTTTATGCGTCCATGTTTTAAATACCCCCTTGAACAACTTGCGGCAATAAAACCAGACTTTTCAATTATTTCGCAAACCAGGGGTATTTTCGTCTAATATGATTAGACTAGTTGGATATACTTTGTAAAAAAAATAATGTACGCCGATGTATTGGTTTGAAACTTTGGTAGGCATCGGTAAGCAAATCAAGCCAAAGTGCGCATGCAATCTACGTTCACTACATTTATACAGAATAGGAACAATGATGTCCCAGGAGGAAGTGGCAAAGGGACGGGGGTGGCAATTGTCCCCCATATTTCCTAGAGAGAACATCTTTTACAAAAATTAATTTATTAATTCAGAGTTTTCCACAAGCTGAATCAATATCTATTAGATTAGAAATTACTAGGATTAGTTAAAATCTATGTTAGTTGTAAACCTAATTTTGCCAAGAGCTCTATATATGTTACGTGTGTTTCAAATTCCTTGACATCTTGGAAACGGTAAAACGATCAGTATTCACTGTGGTTTGTACCATCAGTGATTCATTATTACCCTTAGATAATATAAATGAGTTGCATTGTTATTCCTCATTCCGCCGGGTGGTACCTCTACGTTCGACAGTCGAGACCGTCTACCACCCACGGACAGTCACAACATCCATAGCCAAGAGAAAAATTCTCTTGTGACGGGATTCGAACTCGCGCAGTGCACATCGGTAGACCCTCGAAATAAATGACTACATGATAATTTCAAGGCTTACTCAGGAAACATTTTTTTTTTATAAAAATGTATGACATGCTATAATATTGGAAATCAGAATCAAAAGCTATTCGCCTATGCAAAAATGGCATACATAAGAAAAATCAAAGATGAAACAGGGGGGATAAGTGACGAAAAATCATACTAATGTTCTATTTATGCCACCTTACAGAGATCTAGAAATGGCAAGGACAATGTGCAGTTCATTCTGAAATCCATTCTCAAATAAATTCAGAAAAATTAGAAAGATTTTGTAAAAATTCGTGCCCTGTTCCGTGTATCTCTGGAGGTACTGGAAGCGTCAAAACTTTTCAAATGCAGTTTATAAAATATATAAGAACGCAACTTTCACCATTCAACCGACCCGTATCTCTTACCGTTTCAGAGATCACACTGGTGAAAATATGATAAATTTGTTTTTCAGATCATTCTAGAACAAACTAAGTACATATCCTTCTACATATTCTATAAGACTATTTTTAGATGCTATCTCAACTGTTGCTTTCAAGTATTGCAAGCGAGTAAATTATTACTTAAAAAGCATCTCGCGCAATGTTTGCTTCAATGTTTCAATAACGCAATCTTAGTATAGTCAACGCCAAACAAAGTGGCGTGCACGTCATCAAGGTGGGTGTGTTGAAAAATTTACATTGTTGCCAAACTTTTTGTAAAATAATAAAATTTATTATTTACATATCTAGGTTTATAAGCAATATTAACCTCAAATGAGAACAAAAATAATAGTATAATAAAATTATAGATCTGTACTTGCATAATCATTAAGTATGACAATTATTGATCAGATGACACTATGAAACTACCATATTTAATTGATAGCTTAAAGGTACTGAATAAAAATCCAAATGGGGTCCTCCAAATTTTATGCATGGTATTTATTTTACAGAATTCATACAGAAAAATGCATTCTAAAATTAGGTAAGCTACTGGTGTAAGCTTTTTCTGTACAATAAAGTTAGTCGGAGTTTCTTTCTTCAGCGCTGTCTGAATCTGAATCTTCATCACTCTCAAAGTTGATTATTAAAGGTTCGATGTCTGGTCGATCAAAAATTCGTTCTCTTTCATACCATTTAAAAATTTCTTGCTCAGTATGTCGAACACTATTTTTCCACATGTCTGGGGTAACCGTTTGTAGAGCCTCGTTCCACATATCCAAACAGTCTTTTTCACTGTTACCATCTCTACCAATATGTCTGTTATAGTAACCTTTTTCTATACCCCAAATTAACTCAATAGGGTTAAATATACAATGGTAAGGAGGCAGACGAAGAACTTTGTGCCCATGTTGTTCCGCCAATTCATCAATCACGTATATTTTAGGTGGTTTGTTTCTAAAAAAGCAGTTATTTTAAGAATAGGAATAAACAAAAGAAATATAAACTGTCGACCAAAATATATATAATTAAGAAGCATTATGTACCGAGCAACAATACTCAATAGCTCTGTTTTAAACATTGTGTTTAAAAATGGTATGTTTTGATTTGTCAACCAGTCTTGGATATTTTTTTTTGTCCATGCATTGTTGGGCACTTTGTTCAATTTCATGCTGTGATAAGGGGCGTTATCCAGTATAATCATAGATGGACTCTCCAATTTTTCTAATAACTGATGTTGAAACCATTTCAAAAAATTGTCCTGGTTCATCTCTCCATGGTAATCGCTCAATTTTGTTTTCGAAGAAAAGATCGCTTCACTACCCTCAATAAACTCATTTTCATTTCCAGCATGTAATATAATGTATCTAAAATATATTAGTTTTAAATTTTATAGTGCAAATTGTGTAAAAGTACATACCTTTTACCATCTGTTTTAATAGCTTTCACGCTTTTTTGGTTTCCATTTTGCCAAGAGCGACCTATGGTCCCATTTTGAAATATCCAAGTTTCATCGAGGAAGACAAACTGGTATAAGGCCTCAACCTTGGCTTGATTGTATTGCCTTAGAAATTCCACCCTTTTCAAAGCTATACTTGGTAGTTCCATGAGCCCTCGTCGCGGATTGTCCTTAAGCCACTTAAATCCAAGATCTCTAAGCAACCGCCTTAAAGACGTGGCACTACCATCAAATAATGCCCTATCTCTTAATCGAGACCATAAAGTTTGTATCGTAACTTGTTCTTCTGAAACCATGTGTAATATGACATTATAATTAAGTTAACAAATTAATGCAAATTTCTGATAAGTTATTATAATAAGATCTTACTTTTGTGATACATATTATAGATCACTTCTCGAATGGCACTTGTATCCAATGTCGCTGTGTTGGTTACACGTTTAATATAACTCCCCTTTTTCTTGGGCGATTCTAAATTTGCATCACTTTTCACACCCTCGGAAATACGACTAACTGTCCTTAAACTAATTTTTAAAGCAGCAGCAACACGCTACAAAAAATGAAATAAAATTTCACTATTATTAATATACATTACATATAATTATTAGTAACCTACCTCTTGAACAGCATTTAAAGGCAACAAAGGCCCGTTGTTGTCCCTTTCTTGCTCAAAGTAGTGCATTAACGAGGCCACGAGTTCCTTACACCGACTATTTAACTGTTTGGGCATCTTTATATACCAAAATTGCCTTTATCTACTCGTAAAATGAATAATTTTGTTTTGAAACAAACAGTTGTTGATTTACAGTATGCGGGGCCAAAGGATTTATAAAGATTTGAAATGCCACAAATTGATTCAGTGTCAAAATTAATACAAATGTCAGTTCCCAGTTTAAATAAGTTTCAAGGTGACAATGTGTCAACGCTGCGAAATCGGTTTAGTGCGTTTACATGTCGATAAGTGATTGGAGCGTTTGCAAAACATTTTATTTCGCATAATGCGTCTAAATTTATCAGAAAGCAACTTATGTGATATTTTAATAACAATGTTTATATGACTATTAACCATAATAAGAGAGTAATGACCATTTTACAATTTATATATCACATTAATATGAAACTGCAATAGAGCAATTGTTTGTGATAGAAACCTAGGCATTAGGTCGGGGAATTTTTATCGTGATGACGTGCACGCCACTTTGTTTGGCGTTGACTATAGTTTTCTATATCCATATGAATTGTCATATCCTCGTGGAAGATTCTATATAAATGAAATACGAATAGGAAGCATGAAGACATATGATTTGTTAAACTTCCACCAAACATTTTTTTGAGTTGGGACGCACTTGACTAGGATTAAGATTTATTTATTATTTGCATAATGTCAAATATGAAGCAATGCTTGACAAGATGACAAGTGACATTTGTTTTAGTGTGAGGTTAGCCTCAGAATTTCTCAAATTGGATTACAGTGTTTATATCCGTAAAGACCAATTCAAATATTCGTCCACTCCTTATTTGCATGATTGGCTCATCCTGCTTAAAGGATGATCTTGAGTGTTTATATCGCAGATTTTGAATTTTAATCTTTACATCATCCTGCATAATACATAATCTAACCTATTCACTTTTTATTGATATGAGATATTTTTTCGGCATTTTTTTTGGTTTAAGTGAGTACTATCGTCAGAAAGTGGTTCCAGATGTCCTCCAACATTCCTTAACTCAAATGATCTCTAAAACGCCTTTTTTCATGCATGGTTCCAAAAGCAGTCTTGATATCACTGATGGTCATAACATAGTAAGGCATCATAATACTCGTTTTTTACCAAACCTAGAAGATACGATTGATCGATTTTTATGCTCTGTCGTATTACACATTTATAGGTTTCCACGATTTTTTGAGGGCTCTGGTGTGTTATCTGTTCCATTTAGGATTACAAATAATTTAATAATTTAGTTGGCCACCTTGTTTCACGTTTTAGGGCCTAGGACTTTGCAAGATGTTACCAGAGCATCACCATCTAGGGCTGCGTTCGTAAATTGTTACAGAGTGCACTTTGTATTACTCTGTAACCATTTTAGCGTTCGTAATTGATTGATGTACCTGTTACACAACTACAAACTAATCCTTCTAGAACGTGAAAAGTGTGCTTTTCTTCCCGAGCTCGGAGTTGTCACTTGCCATTCTCATGGTTCATTGTTTGTTTATTTTATTTGGTTATCAAAAACTGCTCAAAATTGGCAGAATATACATTTTTCATAATGAATGGAACCTCGTATCTCTAGGTTCTCTTATAATAACTCATAAAGTGTCAGTACATGGATCTGTAATAATTTAGGCCTTCTAAAAATAAAGTTTCACAGTATTCAAGAGTAAAATTTAATCTGTCAATCTACATGTACAGTATTACATTGACAAGACATTTACAAAAGCACCCCTGTAGAAGACAGAAAAATAAAAATAGCTGGAGTCAAATTCCAGCACACTATCTCTCATGTTTGTCTGGCCAATGAAACCAAATATATTCGAAATTCTTCTTTAATGTAGTAAACGTGTCACAGCGGTGACATTAAACAAGAATTTCAAATACATATGGTTTAACTGGCTAGGCAAACATGGGAGATAATTGACATGAAAACCACAGGATAAGTTTCAGATGTTACATTCCACCATACTGCTATAGTTAATAGTGATATTTGACTAAACACGCCAATATACATTTTAATAGCAATGCTTAAATGCTTACCTTGACTTAATTTTGAGAATGTTGGACAGTTCTTGTACCAGCACCCACCGTTCAGATTGATTTTCCCCTCTTAGCGTATACAGGTTAGGTAACAGTTGTTCCGATATCTCGAAATCAACGTCTTCGGGTTCTAAAGGAGAATCGGGTTCTGGACATTCGTCTAGGATGTCGTAACCCAATTGGTCCCGATGATCTGTAGGAAAAAATAGTTTTTATTACAAGTTTGAAATATTTGAATTTGTTAGAAGAAAAAACGTAACCCATCCTTTTTTGCATAAAAATAACATTTATCTTCCGGAATGATTTTCGATTCATATCGGCAAGGTAAATTAGTGTATTTTGCTATAAAATGCTATTTGAACTAACCCTGTATATTGCTCAATAAACTAGTAGTGATGGCCGGAAAACAGGTGTTTTGGGATAAAAAAATTATAGATTCTCAAAAACTACTTGACCAATCTACTCCAATTTTGTTGTGCTTACTTAGAAGTACGAATCCTACGTATTTGAAAAATTTCAAATATCTGTGAGAAACCATCGTCGCATTACCAAGTGCCAAAACATGAGGTTGTCGGCCATAACTTTTTTGCTATAAGTCGGATCTTTTTACGTGTGGTCTCATTTTGTAGATCTCATAAATACCTAAAAATCTTATATAAAGAGTTTTTTCGTCCCTTCGATTGAATCCCAAAAAACACGTTTTCTCATTCTTTGTTGTCGAATCAAAAGTTTTCCCACAAAGATTGGTGCACCCACTTTATGTCAACGTTTTCAATATCCCCTTGCACAACTTGCAGCAGTACAAGCAAACTTTACAATTGTTTCGCAAACCAGGAGTATTTTCGTATATATTTTTTTGCATCGGCACGGCTTTCGATTGAGGCTACTATACAGGGTATCCCAGAAGTCGACGTCAAGCCGGAAATGGGGGATAGTCCAAGTTATAATAGTTATCAGAGTCTTGTACTTTTAAAACTATAGGCCCTAAAACAAAAATCTAAAAACTCTACACTCCGTGATGATCTTTTAGTTTCCATGACTACAAATTTATTTTGTTTTTCTTAGACAGAGTTACGAACCGTGTCACTCTACGTAATGATAGCAAGATAGATAGTAACGCCACTTTTATTAATTCGTGAATCTATTTATTAAATTAACAATAAATATTTAAACTGCCTTCCTTCAGCAGCAATACAAGCTTGACATCTTAAAAATGATCGGGTTATCAGACGGGCGAATCTTCCGATATTAACAGATTCAGCTACTTCCGATATTGTCCTGTAACTCAGTTAAATTTTCGACTGGCTTTGAGTAACATTTTTCTTCCACCTCTTCCCAGTAAGAAAAATCGAGTGGATATATGTCAGGTGAACGGGCTGGCCACGAGATTGAAATAATCTCTAACTGAACGGGCTTAATGCGCCAGGCAGCCGTCTTGCTGGTATCTCTGTAAATGCTTAGCTTCCAATAAATTTGGTGAATGATTCTGTAGAAAGTCTAAAAAAATTTCGCCATTCAAGAACTCTGGTAGCTCAAAATGTACAATGATTCTCCTATTTAGAATAGGTCCTCCACATGTTTACTTTAAAACGATACTGTGATCTATCTTGTCTCATCAAATGCGGATTTTCTAAATGCCACTCATTTAAATTGTATAGGTTCATGTAACCATTTTTTCAAATATCCACTCAGCAGTCGATTAACAAATAATTATGTATAACCTTATTATAAAAGTTTGTTCTTACACATTCTAAATACAAAGTAAAAAAAATCATGAAACATAATAAAATAGTTGATTCCAATTAATTTATTAAACCCTTCGATCTGAACTATATTAGTATATAATATTTTTCTTATTTATTTCGATATTAAGTACTGGAATCAATGGAAGCTATCAACGTTCTCCTGAAAACTGATAGAATTTTAGAGACATGATATGGCAACATATGCTGTAATTCAATTTTATATTACATTATTCATAAGTCCTGATCGTCGATATAAATCCAGTAAAAATTCATGGGAGCTGCCAACAAAACAATTTTGTTTGTTATTACGATATTCTGGCGCTTTATTGCATTATATCCAGGTATATTTTGCTTTTTACGACTGTGTGAGCACAATCACAAACCACGTTCCATTTTTAGTAATGCAATTCTGCATATTCATAGAAGAGTAGCGTCAAGCAGGTTCACTTCCACTTCCCACGCAATGCTTTCCACAGCTCGTAAAGGATTATATTCGGCCCAAGTTGATCCCTTTGAGCTATAATGATTAACAAAAAATAAGTGGGTCAAGTCAGTCAAACAGGCCCATATACAATAAGTTCATACTCTATAGTTCCCCTCCATTTGATAACGCTGTCAGAAGCACGGCGGGGTTCGGGGTGCATAAGATCACTGGGGCTGGAAGCGTATAAATATACTGCCGCCAACAAAATGAGATAAACCTTCAGTCACCTCCTAGAATCCCCAACTCGCAAAATTTAACCCCTTCAAAAATTTATTTTGTTCGTGTTATTGCCCCTAGCTGCGCCGTTACTGGACCTATTAGCAAAAACTACAAAGATTTTTCGTCCTTGGCATAGTAGTAGCCTTCATAAAAATCCGATCAGTACTTTCAAGTTATAGGCAGTTCAAAGATAAGCGGTCAAACGGACAAACAGACCGACGGAAATGAGAGACATGGTTTTCGTGATTTACATGTCATATAAGATCCGCAAAACATAATATTTCATATGAGAAATTTTTCACGATGGCAGTATTTCCTCTACAGTAGGCGTGTGAAGTAAAAACAATATGCTTAGAAATAGTGCAATGCAGTCATACGATGCCCAAAACGTCTACCGAGATTATACGGTAGAGAAAGTATGGAATCCTTACGATACCTACTTCAATGTAATATTTAGTTATATTTAATGTATCCCGATGTTGTTTTTCGGTCATTTATCGTCGATAGAATTCTAGGATTGTAAATATTTTTTTTTTTGTACTCGATAAGCAGAGAGAAAAGAAAGAATAACAGCAATTTTACTAAACGTCGCCATAAGCAACAAAATGCATAGAAACAAAAACAAATAAAGGAATATGCTAAAGAAACACAAATTGTATAGCGAATTTTATAACCCTTATTTGCTAATGCGCTTATTAGCTATTTAAAAACCATGCCCAGGAAAAATGGCAACGTTGTCGATGATACTTATAATTGATTGTTCAGTCATATAACTTCAATGGAAATAGACTCTTTTGCAGAATCTGTATTCAAAGAGATTAATCAAGAGTTAGGATAGGCGCTCACTTGACACTTTTTAATATTTGATGCAATTCCGAAGTATTTTCTAACAGCAAGTGCTTTTCGACTCACCAAAACATGAAGCAGGTCCATAGAAGATCCACTTATCGCTAGGCTCGCCCTCAATATCATTCAGATGATTCTTGAGGAAATGCTTGGTAGTCTCATCATTGGTCAAAGCCAAAGGCGTGAGACCAGAGTATGTCGCCAGGGTTGGATCCGCCCCATACGCTAAAAGGAGTCTGGTAACTTCGACGAAGCCGTTTTCTACTGCTTCATGCAGAGGCCTGCATAAAAAAGATAACATGAAATGCGTTGAACAACTTATAGAGTAGTTAAGAAACAAATGTACAGTTTGCGAATATCAAAAGTTCACCAAATTTGTCATACTGGACAAAACTACTAATTGCTTTAAAGTGAACTAACTTTATTTATCATTTGCACTTGTTTTCGATGTTCTTGTAAATTATTTTACATATAGTAGTCAAATAAATGTTGTCTATGCTATTCCCGCTAGACTCACCCTTAGCGTTTTTGAAAATCGCTTGTCGACTTAACGTCTACTAACTGCTTAGTGTTTTCCTTATTGCTGTCTGATTCTTTATTTATATGTAGGGTGTTATTGATACAATGTTGTAATTTTTGAATACACTCCCAATACCAAGTGGCATACCAATTTACTGGCGTTAATTTAATTGGAAATATTGGAAACTTGGAGAGGCAAAGATTCGAAATTGATAACCCCTTTGAATTCTCGAAGTTTCTAAATATAATTGTATAAGAAAAGAGGATGATTTCAAGGAAATGCTGCAACCACTTTGCCAGTGATAAGTAATCGAGCAAAAGTAAGTATTAATAATGTACTAGTTGTACTTGAAAGACTGACAAAAATATAATAGCGATAAAACAATGATGCTTTTATTATAAGATAAATAGAGCAAACTGTCCTTCAGTTAATGCAGTATACAGATGCTTATACGTACATCTATGTTTAACAGAACTTTTACTAATTTTTAATTTTATTCTCTTTACATTTATTTTGCTCTGCAAATAAACGCTATTATTATCATTATTATTATTATACGAATGTGGCATTGTTTTTTCTAGATACTGTTTGGATTGTGTTTCAACTAGCTACCACCATGACAGACAGAAATCATAATATGTCTCAGCCTGCCATTTCGCTCAACCGAGGACATGTTGGTAACAATGAAAAAACCACCGTTGCCAATATGTGTCAGGCGGATTGAACTCAAAGCGTTAACCCTTTTACCGTATGATATCAGTCGCTAAGTATTTTGACTACGTTTCGCTTTGAAGATGAGAACGCTGGTTCAGATCGCTATCCGCGACGTTTCCATCTTGCACCGCGTATGTCTTTTTATCTCGTTAAAAAAGCTAGCGAGATAGAGTAGGAACGTCAAGAGCACGGTGGACCGCCTAGACATCTCTCAACTTTCAGAATGCCCTGTACGTCTCAGATTTAAAACACCGCTTTTAACGGTTGAATTGCGGGTGCCAATATGAGAAATGAAAGATAAAATGAAATGAGAAACATGGCTTACCTAATACCACCTTGTGCGCCTTCCCCAGGATCAGCACCATACATAAGTAGCAACTTTGCAATCTCCAAATGACCTCTGGTACATGCCACATGAAGAGGAGTGTATCCTGCGTTATCCTTTGGAGACGGGTTGTTTTGGAGTTTTTCCAGGCAATACGCCATCACATCCTGTAAATAATGTTGCATTATAACCATTATCGCGAAATTACTGTTATTGATGAAAGCATCTCTCCGTACTTAATAATAATAATAATAATAAATGCCTTTATTTCCAAACAGTTTTCAAAAAAAAAAAATCAGAAAGAGAAACATGAGTATTAACCAAAAAAAAAGGAAAATATAAAAAAAAATAAATAAAACAAATGTCGACTGTCTGAAAACCACAAGGGGGAGTTCACTATCTAGTGCTCTTCCACTCATCCCTTGGAATTGTAAGAAACATTATGCCAGTAAATACATCCATCAACCATATAAAAACATCAATATGAACAGCATGTAAGTTTTTTTAAAAAAAATAAGATAGAAAAGTGAGACATGTGGTAATAGATTTAAAAAAAAAAAGAAAGTCTAGAATAATATATATATATACATATACACATATATACATATACATATATACCCATACATACCGCATAAACAAACGCCAATATGAGCGACAATTAAGTTTGAAAAAAAGAGCAAAGAGAAAACGTGGTGGTAAATGTAAAAGTCTAGAATGATATACAAATACATATACGTACATGTATGCATCATAAGAAAAAAAAAATATAAATAAAATAATGGAATGCAAACAAAATAAAATTGAAATTCCGCAGTAAGAATAATTCTACTTTATACATTCAAGGTAAGAATCACGCAAAACCGCTTTGAACTTGTGAATTTCATATGATTTGAGGTACTGGGGGATAGGATTGTATAGCTTATATATATTATACGTAAATGATCTTTCATAAAATTTAGTTCTGTGGAATGGAGCGGTAATGTTTTGTTTCGAACGAATATTTACGGAATGGATGTCTTTTCTGAATGTTATTTTCTCGTAGAGGTAATGCGGCTGCCTGAGAGTTAAAATTTTATGATAAAAGCATATTGTGAATATCTCAAAACGAGCCTTCATATTTAGCCACCGGAGTTCTTTCAGCTTATGACTAACTCTTTCAAATTTTCTTATGCCATATATAAAACGTATGCATGAGTTCTGTGTTCTCTGTATTCGCATGAATGTATCACAATCTAAACATGCAGAATAAATTGGAACACAGTACGAAAACTGTGATACAACCAAGGTTTCGCAAAGAATTCTTTTGATGTCTAAATTGAGAAAATTTCGGTGAGGATATAATAATTTTAGAGCCAGATAAGATTTTTTGATACAGTTTGATATGTGCTCACGAAACCTCAGATTATAATCCATTGTTAAACCTAAGTTTTTAACTTTATCACAGTATTTTAATCTAATATTATTTATGGTTATATTTAAATTCTCAATCACATAAGAACGGTCTTTACCAAAGATCACAGCAGCTGATTTATTTGGATTTAATATTAATGAATGCTCTTGCAATCTTTTAGAGAGGTTAGTCAAGTCACTGTTTATTTTCAACTCGGCAGCTGGCCAATCTGAACTAGGAAAAGAATAGTACAGCTGGGTATCATCCGCATAAATGTGTGACTTACAGAATTCCAAACATTTAAGGATCTGACTGGTATATATAGTGAAGAGCAGTGGTCCAAGTATAGATCCTTGCGGTACACCTGTGGTAGTGGGCTTTGAACTAGATATTTCATTCTTCAGTTGTACACACTGTGATCTGCCACTTAAGTATGAATTAAAAAGTTTTACGCTGTCAGTAGACAATCCACATGACTTTAAGATAGACAGCAAAACATCATGGTTAATTGTGTCAAATGCCTTGCTGAAATCTAATAGTATTAAAGCGGTAGACTCACCCAGATCATTCGACTGAATGATATCATCATCATTCTACTAATAAATCGATTTTTCATCAAATAAGTGCAGTTAGTGTTACAGCTACTCCGATATTAAAACAATATTGGCATATAAAACATAACCCTCTCACCAAAACAATATACGAGGTTTGTCCGCAAAATACGTAAAACAGATTCGGGGCGTCCTGTCAAGGCGTTGTGGAGGGGTGGCCCGGTGGTTCCCTCTCTCTATGCAATCCTCTCTATGATCGAAGAACAGCGCATCAACATCAAGTTTCTTGCAAAGATAGGCAAGAATGGACGTGAGATTTTTGAGTGTTTGGAACAATTTTACGGAAACAATTCTCAGAAGGAACCAACCGTCAATAAGTGGTTGAAAACGTTGCGGGAAGGCCGACAAGATGTGAAAGATGACCAACGCCCCTCCTCCACATCGAGGTCCGAGGGAAATGCTGAACAAATTCGGGGATGTGTTCTTGAAGACTGTAGATTGACAGTTAGAATGATAGCTGAGGAACTGTCAATCCCAAAACAATCGTTCAAAAACTTGAAACGTAAAAAATGTGCGCGAAAATCGTTCCGAAGCTCTTGAATCCACAACAGAAAGCAATGAGGGTTGCTTGCTGCGAGGATTGGTTGGAATCAGAGGAAAGGGGGGACTTTCTCAAGCTGGTCATTACTGGAGACGGAGTCTTGCTTCTACGAATTCGATGTGGAGCTGAAATCTCAAAGCATGTAGTGGAAGCAAGCAGGCGAACCGAGAACAAAAAAGTCGAAAAAAATCAAGGTCCAATGTGAAAAAAATGTTGATTGTTCTCTTTGATTCTCGGGGCATTGTTCACCAGTAATTTGTCACTCCCAGCCAGACAGTGAACGGGAATTTCTACATTGAAGTTTTGCGTCGTGCTCGCATGTCCCGAGTTCGACCGGATTTGGCATAAGGGGCAGGTGGATCCTTCATCACAACAACGCGCCTGCTCACACGTCACTCGTTGTGCGTTGGTTTTTGGCCCGAAGCTCAATCACCGTGACAGATTCCAGCATTCACCCGATTTAGCCCTTTGCAACTTCTTCCTGCTCTCAAAATGCAAAATCGTGCTTTGGGTTCAGCACTTGGGGATGTGGAAGCCATCAAAGCAGAAACGACACGGCAAATGAAGAGCCTCACAATTGAAGACTTTCAGCGACCGTATCAGCATTGGAAACGGAGTTGGCAGAAGTGCACCTTGTCTCAGGGGGAGTACTATTAAAATACCTGAATAATTGTAAAATAAAGTTATTTCACTTTAATACGTATTTTCCGGGCCAACCTCGTATAATGTTCATTTATCTAGCAGTGTTGCTGACCTTGGCTGAATAAAATGTCATTCCGTGATGTTTTATATAAATTTACAAATCTAAATTATAACTTACCGTGTATCCTAACCTAGCAGCTCTGTGCAGATGCGTCTCACCAATTCCTTTATTCAACACCCAACTTTTGATTTCTTTTTGAATATCATCGATAGATTCTGGCGTCTTCATTACTTGGACTTTCTTTTTCTTCTTTTCTACATTCTCGCTCTCACTCGCCTCTTTCTTGACTTTCTTTTTCTTCCGAATATAATCAAATCCTGAACTCAATTTCCTTCTCATCTTTCCGAACTTTGACCTCCTTTTTCCTGATATGCTATTATCATCACCATCCATAGACATGCTGTCAGACCTGCAACAAGACCACGTGTATATTTCTTCTAGTATTTCCAACAGAACTATTTCATTTTTGTAGTCATTATAGGTTAACCAATTCAACAACAGATATGGACAATATTTAAGTTTTACTCGTCGCCAAATGAAACCACAGATTTTGAATTGAAATGTTTAATGCTCTTTCATCCAGCGAGATGGCCTTTACCATACTGAATAACAATATTTCAATTCAACTTGACTCTGCAGAGACAACCAAAGGATTGGTTTTACGAGTTAGATTAACATCAGAACTGTGACCACTTACCTCTCATCAGGGTCCCTTTTAATCACAACATCTTCCAAACTCCTAACATCATCTTCTATCTCTTCTTGCACATCAGTCTTTATCTTCTTCTCAACGAGAGTCTTCAGCAAACTGTTCTCCTTCTTCTTGCCTTTTGTTAACAGTTTTGTCTTCAAAGTCTGCTTCGTTTCGGGACTATCATCTTGGCTAGATGTATCATCTGCGTCATCTTCTTTCTCTTGTTTTATTGCTAAATTACCCATGGAGCTAGCTTGCTCGGGAGCCTCTTCTTTCACCTGATGAAAAAGGAACCGATGTTGTGATGCTATTTTCGATCAGAGATCTAATAAAACTATACCTCAACTATTATTATCTAATATCTCCATACTCAAAAAAGTACAATAAGCTCGTTTGCTGTTTTTCATGCATTATTTAAGTAAAGCGAAATGTCGAGATATACTCATTTTACATTTTGTATCGATAATTTATGAAAAAAAACTACATTTTTATGGAGGGAAATCAATACGATGTCGTGATCATATCGTAAAATTGACCATTTGATGAAATGATCGAGCATTTATCATTACCTATTGGCCAGATCATGATGTGCGTTTAACGATATGATCAACTAAGCACGCGGCTGCTTCATGATATGATCAAACATATTGATCAAATCGTAAAATATTGTGAAGAAAGTGGGATTAAAAGAGTTTACGACCAAAATTTACTCAAGTTCTCGAGTAATTTGCGAGTCACGCAAGTACCAATCAAAACGACAAAAAGACGTGGAGTTTGGACATCTTTCACAATAAAACAAAATAGGGTGGCCACCGCGAGGTAATAACTTAATTTATGATATATTTTCAAAACTTTAACTTGTGTGTGCAAATTAAGAATGTTTTCATCAAAATGGTTGTCGTACTTACAGAGCAATAAACGAGATTCTAACATATTCTGGATTTTTATTAAATATTCTATGGATTTTACGGGGTGTGTGGATGACCAAATCGTTAAACGTTGACGATTTAACGATATGCTCAAATTTAGTTGGTCTTTTTATGCTCGATCACTTCATGAAGTGAGGATTTCATGACATACCTATTATTATCCTTGTTTTTATACAGGGTGATTCACAAGTCGTGGCCACAAATGAAACAACATACACAGGACCGTATTTTAAGGAAGGTCTCCTATATCAAATTTTTTGCTCGAGGGCTTTGTTATAAAGATACGGGGTGTTGAAGTTTAAAAGTAAGAAACAATTTTTTTTAAATCTTCATAACCGTCAACTGCATGAACTAAAATTGTGTGTGTGGATTTACCTTAGTATTGTCCACATTCAAAAATGTTTACTTGAAATTAATGTGCACCAGTGGCGGATATAAAAATAGTACGACACTGTTTTTTTTTTCGAAACTCGCAATTTTTCGAATTTTATTTTCAATTTGCTACAAATAATTACTCTGCACTGCACTGTTTTCGTAAAAATAAAAATAAAACAAATTAGATCATTCATGACGAGCGGAGATTAGTTTCAAAATAAAATAGAAGGCCTTGATACCAACTTGACGTTTCTTGGGGAATAGTTTGTCAAAGTTATGTGTTTATGCACGTATTGAGATTTCTAGAGAATGTGTTAGATGATGTTCCGTTAGCAACGAGACTACGAATGTGGTATCAGCACGACGGTGCTCCACAGCACGACATAACCGCATGGTTAAATCGTCATTTTAGACAACGATGGATTGGCAGAAACGGATAACAGAAAAGTTCGGAGGTTTAACTAGATAACTACTAAAAAACCTCAAAGATCAAATAAAGTTTATAGATGAAGAAAACAAATGATATTACCAAGGTATAATAAAGGCGAACTCAATATATCCAAAGAAGAAAAGAATAAAGAATAACATTTTAAATACGTATCTTCTGATATTGTACATTTTGGTAATATTATCTGTTTCAAATAATAAAGTACTTTTCACTTCTTTCCACGTATCTTTTATTCTACCGCAGTTTAATTTTTAGTCGATAAATGAGTTATGTACATTTTTTTGCAGTTTTTCTAATAAACTAACAATATTTCAGTATTGTAATTCTAGTGCATTAAAAATACTGTACTTGCAACATATCTAACAAGTGATTTTAATCGGAACCGTAAAATAACGAAAAAAGTTCCAAATCAAACCACATTTTCCTAAATAACTCTGAACTTGCATTTTGTGACATAACACCTTTATCCACTTATGTCTTCAATTGTGTTGTGTAAATGATGAAATTACCTGTATCTCATTGAGACACGTTACTGGGGGAGCTGAAGCAGGTCTATCTTCACCAAACACTTCCTTGATGGTAGCTCGTTGTTTCAATACCCTAGTTTCCTTTCTTGTCCTACTCTTGAGAACAACGGCCGTAAACTGGTCATGAACCCCAACAATATTGTTTGCATTCTTGATGAAAGCGTCTTTGAAATTATTGATAGTACTCTTCCTGAAGCCCAATAGTGCCGATTCAGTCTTGATGATAGGCGACGCGAGTTTCTTGCTTTCTTTATCCTCTTCTGCTTTAATTTCTAAACTTGGAGTTGCAAGTAGTGGCGAGGCATCTTCAGATTTGGGGATGATTTTGGGACTGTGATCATCTTTTCGCTTGTGCCTCTTTTTCTTTTTTCCGCCACATTTTTCCAGCAACCTGTCCAATATGGACATCTCCTTTGCAGTATTGGGCAGGCTCTTGATCGAAGCGCTGCCTTCAGAGTCATAATTGGTTTTCCTACTGAATAAATTAAAGCTTGAGTTTGATTCGTTGTCACTATCCAAGGACTCTGACTTAATCTTTTTCAACTTAATTTTCTCTGCAGACTCCTTTTCAGGTTCTGCCGGCAAAGACGTGGTGGGTGACTGAGGACATGGATCCAAATCTGGAAGAGAAGTGGACAGTCTATGGAACTGTGGAGGCCTTGTCACCTGGATCAAAGTCGGAGGCATACGTAGAGACTTCTTGTATTTATAAACCCCCTCTTCCCAACCTGGATAGAAGCTGGAACCATCGCCGAAAGCTGGTTTCTTTGCAGGTCTGATAAAAGGGGGGATCTCCAGAGATGTATCTTTCTTGGGCGATGATTGTGTCTCTGAATTCTCCGGAGGTTTCTCAGCCTTAGGTTCTTCTTTGACTTTGATCTCTTCAGTCTCACTCTCACTGGACGAAATCAGTCTTTTCTTGGCTTGTTGTTTCTTAGTAACAAATATAGGATCTTCCTTTTCAGTTTCATCTTCCTCAGCTTCCAGAAGCTCATTTTCTAGCTTCACAATTAAACTAGTTTCCCTTCCAGGAGAGGCAGGCAGGACTTCCGGGGGTTCCACAACTTCTTCTTTGATTTTAGGAACTTCAGTGACCGTTTCTTCTTGCTTAGGTGCTTGCTCTTCTTCATCTTTTTGCTCGACTTTTACTTTGACTTCAGGCTCGGTTTCCAAAGGTTTTTCTTTGGTAACAGTCTCAAGCTTGGCTAGAACTTCTGGTTCGACGCCTCTTTTCCTTCTTTGCGGCTTCTTCTTGACAGGATTATTCTTCAACTGCTCAACGAACGTGTCGCATAGTTTTGCGAACATATCGTCTTCGGGACTTTGAGGCCTAGGCTGTGGCGATTCAGGTTTGAGATCTAAGGGTTGATTGCTTTGTTTCGAAGACCTTCTACCTTTTCTCATAGCTTCTAGCGATTCTTTACTATCTCGGATGTCGTTTTCAGAATCAGAGTCTGGGAAATCGAAAATAGACGTTTCCGAAGAACTCCTCAGACCCGATTTATCTCGTGAAGGTACCAATCCTGTATCCTCATCACACCTACTGAAAAGTCGCTTCCTTGGAGCAGCACCTGATTTGTCCTTAACCTTCGCAGAAGTACCACCATTGCTGCTACTTGGGCTTTCAGCATCTGGTGACTTTTCTGTAGCATTCTGCGCGTTATTATCATTATTGTTACTCAAAACAGGTCCTCCTTGTTTCAATTCCCCTTTGGTACGAATCCTGGCAGCCAAGAAAGCAGCTAAACCGTCTAGATCCGAGCCAGAATGGTTAGTTATCACAGTATCAGCAAGTTGCTTGTCAACGTTCATACTTTTATCCACAGAGTCCACAGCTTTAGGGATGTTGAACTTGTACATTGACGTGTTTTCAGGAAAACTCGTAGGAGTAAAGGGGGAAACGTTGTTTCGGCCCGTCATGCCTGGCTTGGGTTGCAGAGGAGCAGTGACGTCAGTTGACGGATGCTGAACGTCTTGCCTGGGATGCTGGGCGAAGTTTTCGAATGTTTTTTGTTGCTCCAACTTCTTTTGACCTGCAAATAATTCATCACCTGATAATGACTAATTGTAACTACTTGAGAATTTTTCGAATGGTGTGACTTTGGCTACAAACATAACACCAATTAATGTCTACGAAATAACATATGACTGTGATAATGGGGGAGCGTTCCGCCAGCGTAAAGCGGTCCACAAGATTTCCGAGAGCCACATTATCATTGGCAGCAGGATTGGCTTCATACGAATACATGTATCCCTTACACATTTTAACCTTCTATCTCTAGTCTCCGTGATTTCAATCAAAGCTATTCCACGGCTACTGCTATTCAGCATAAAAGCGATGCACCGCTGGACCGCTTAACGTTGGCTGAACACTCCCATGGTCTGTTGAAGTTTACTATTTAAACAGGCTGTACAAGAAAGGGACTTAAATACAGAGGGTCCGCAAAGTTGAGACTCTACAAGCGTATAGGTCAGACTATAACAAGCATGTTTTTATAGTAGATAATATATTTACCGGAGCTTTAAGATAACCGAGATATTAGGTTCCAAATAGCAAAAAATGATCCATTAGGACCCTGCCACCATCCCCTCCCACAATTCCCTCCTAGGTGAAAACGTATGATGTTGTACTTCAAGTAAGACTATGTGAGTCGGTATCCAAACCACGCGTCGCGTCTAGTTTAACCTAGTTTATAATCAAACTTCGTCCTCGATGTTTCTTTCCATCAGATCTGCTTTTGTTTGTTTATATCGTGCAAAAGCCGTTTGGTTGAACGCAGTTGATGGCCTAGTCCCAAATGCTGGAAATTCAGGAAGAAATAAACAAACTCGTGTTTTTGATTCGAACAGCGACAACTTCAAGCAGTGTTTACAAACAAAATATGTGACAAGGCAGTACTGGAAATTCTTTACCAAATGAATAGTGAGTATTTTTCTTCATCTACTTTTTACGTTTTCGGTGTTGTTTTGCCGCAAATTCGCTTTGGTATTGCAAAAGTAGTTGACTCTGAAAAGGAAAATCTCAACTTTCTGGACACACTGTATTATCACCGAGAAGAGTTCCAATCCTTGCTGTAAAATATAATTTCACTGTCGTAACCATTTTCCAAGTAAGATGGTCATGTTTGCTTTCCGTCTCTGTAACCACGACCAACCGCAGACAACGCTGTTTGGTGCTCATTAGCAACTCATCAGTGCTATATAGGTCGGGAAACCTTGGAGCCATGACTAGAAGGCAAACATAATGGAATGGTCGTTTGAAAATCTCTAAGTAGACGAAAAATCTGACGATTTCAACCTAAAAATGGTTTGCCAAGGTGATCTTATCCCATCGTAAGGAAATAGGATGAAGAATTGGATTTTTTGGTGGAATATGTCAATCAATTGTGAAATAAAAATATTTACCCTTAACCTCCAGACTGTTCCTCAACAGGTCCAAAACTCTTTTGTCCACAGCTCCACTCATGGTATTCTTCAAAGTGGTTAAGGTGTTCAAAGAACTGGAAGAATTAGACCTGGAGCTCGGCTGTAGGTAATTTTGCTGCTGAGAGTACCCAGCGTATCCTGGATACTGATGAGCGGCAGGTGAAGGTACGTATGTCTGACTGTGGCTGCTAGTTTGAGCTGGATACTGGACTTGTGTAGTGTTGTAACTGTTGGGTTTCTGGTCGTAAGTACCAGGTGGTTCGTGGTAGGGGTAGGAGTCCTTCGATGTCCAGCTTAGTTCGCCTAGACAAGAGACAGTAACGTTACTTATATGTGACACAAAGGACTTGGAATTTCAGTAGGAGGAACATTTTGAGTTTAAAAACCAAATTAGTGAGCGCCCTTTACAATCAGAGGTTTATTGATTATCATGGCGACAAACAAAGCAGCAACACCAACAGAGACGTGAAACGTAACGGCGCCGTAGTCAAAAACCGGCCAAGAGTGTCTGAGGTTGAACGGTCATCACGTGACAGGATGCGCGGGTGCGATGCACAATCGGTACTGAGTAGTTAAAAAATGGCCCTCGTATTTCCTACAGGCTGCGTTTGTTAAGTAATGAAACTGGCCGCCGGGCAGCGCCAAACTAACCTATTGAAATAAATATATACGGTAGCTCCCTCACGTGGAGACTGGTAGCGATGGACGCTAAAATCGATACTTCGATAGGTTAGTTTATCTAGGGATGCAGGCGATTTCGCCATGGCGTTCCGCACGGGTATTATGTAAAAAACCTATAAAACGTAAAAAATATATACAACGTAACATTTTTTTATAAAATGTCATCTTGTAGACTTAGGTAGTTTTTAAGGTGAACGACCATCTATGGAGGAGTGTCTCAACTAAACTACACGCATTGTTGGTTGCATATGTTTTGTGAACCTGAATAATCTGTAGTTTTTATCCCTGAGAAGAAAGTTGGTTGAATAGCAAGATCGCATCTGAATATGTGTATTGGTCTGCATGTGTATAAAATCAGTCATTTTTGCTGTGTAACAAAATCATTACTGAATATGCTGCCAATGAAGTAGATCTATTAACTGTGCTCTACGGGTTATTTGTGTTGTGCTTTCTGAAGAGAGGTTATGTTCAAAGTTACAAATTACGAAAAGGCTTGAGGAGAATTACGGGAAATCACCACCGCGCCCGCGTTGTGTGTAATTACTGTTAGCATGTATATGGCTTGTAATTTGCCAGTGTACAGTGAAAAAAAGTATGTCTTATCTCTCTCATTTTTGAAATTCAGCAAATTACATATGTAATTTCCAGAATGACTAAGAAACAGTGGATGCGCAAATAATGCTTAGCTCTGAATCTCAAGTAAGTGTATTTGAGACAAAAATCCAATGGAATTGTCATCAACACATACAACTTACAGCTTAGACCTCCAGTAATGCCATCTCTGAAGCAGATTTTACAGCACATCAGAGCCAAACATTGATAACTGTACAACTAAGTGCTAAGTTAACATCTTGTAAAAAACCTACATAATGTGACAAAAACTAATAAAATGTAAAAAAAAAACGGCATAATGTCAATTTTCATTCAAGATACGTTATACCCGTGCCGGTGAGGGAAGAGCTTTATTTACCAGCAATATAGCGTCCGATTGTTACACATGTGATAGGATATCTAAGCTAATAACAGAACCGCACCTGTATTACGTAACTCAAAAGTGACTTTATATCGATTTTCAATGACATTATATTTGTTTTCCAAAAAATGTAACCATGGAACTAACTCTCATTCACAGTAGATGTGCGTGTTGCTAAGGCCCGTATCGTCAGTCGTCCCTACAATAGTAGGGCGCGTTTATGGCCTCCTTGATTGTCATACTCCAAAAATTTCTAGATTGCACCTGTTCTGTGTCAGCGTCAGCGCTCTCCTATTGTGAAGATATGTTTTCTTTTTAAATTGTAGGAAATTTCAGGCTGATAAAACATGATATAACTCAAAAGCAAGCATGCAAATAGATGTTGTGACATAACCTCAAAATAGAGCGCTAACACGGAGAAGTAGAAAACTATTACAATCAAGGAGACCATAAAGGCGCCCTACAATTGTTGGGACGACTGACGATAATAGCCTTAAACGTCATTGCACTTGAGTTTGGCTCTGACCTGATATTACATCTGCTTCAGAGATGGCGCTATTGAAGGCTATTTATAGCTCCTATGGCCTGAGCTGGAAGATTTATACTATAGCTGGAAGGGAACACTGCAGTGCACAGTGATGATTAGTGCACTAATAATGTGGGTTGATGATGATTTCGTTAGTTTTATAAAGCATGCTGGATAAATGTGAGATGCAGCATCTTATTCAACCTGATCCTTGAGCCATTCCTCCATAGGTGGCGCTCACAGAGCAGGCTCGGAGTGGGCTGGCAACTACTTATTACAACATATGAGTTTTAATAGCATTAAATGATTTTTTATTTAATAACCCTGCCGGTCTGTAATCGCATGGATGGTCCGACGTAGCGAGTGCGGAGACAAGAGATAGACGTGGCGTTTAAAATAACTGTAGATTCAAAAAACGGTGCCATTGAACTGGTAAAAAGTTGTTTCGGAGCAGCGACTTGCTAAGATGAGACTTTTTATCGAAAGCCCGTTGGTGACAATTGTAGAGCAGCGGGTTCCAGCTCCCAAAACAGAAACAGTGCTACGCCAGGATATAATAGAGGGGCGTATATAACCAAAGTTTGTGTAGTAAAAAAGCGGCAAAACGGTAGCAGGAGGAACAGTAGATCTGGAAGGACTGGGACTGAACTACGCGTTAAGGTTGTTTACCAGCTCGTGACGCTTGTGAAAACGTTCACGACAGCAGCCATACACAAACAATTAGTTTTCACCTGGGAAAAACTGCTTCGGAAACTGACAAGACACCACATAAAGAAGCCATAATGTTCCTGTGGTCTAATGGTATTAAAATCGGTCATGCCAAGGTTGAAGACCTGGAATGGTCTGAAAGTCCTTCAAGTAGTCCCGTGAACGAAACTGCGGTCAAAGTAAAACAATATTTAAATTAATTTCCACATCCTCCATATTCAAATTTAGGGCGGTCGCAGACAGATCTAAACATTTTTTTGTCTCGATGCTGGCGAAGTGTACAATGTACAGGTATTGCCTCGATCCGCTGCGAACCGTTTCTCGTCAACACTCTCGGAATTACGTTTCGCTCAATTTTCTTGTTTTCTGGCCACATGCTTGTTACCGGTGCTGCTTACATAACTTGATAGATTCGATTCGAACATATCAATTTTCTGATATTGAAAGAAAAGAACGTGGTCATTGTTGAATTAAAAGTGTGCAGAAAAATTGATTCGAAGCAGAAACGTTTCGACCTGCGTGCGAGGATGCAAGTAACTCACGCAGATCGAACCATTTCGTTTCGGGACAATTTGTACCTAGGCAAAATGTTTCGATCTGTATGTGGAGGGCCGTACTGCTCAAAAAATTGCTACGGAAGATTTGGGAATGAGAAAAGTGTGCACGGAATTCATTTCCCGGGTGCTTACCCAACTAACAATTATCACTCCTATTAGAGTTGAAGAATGATTATACAGTATTCCTTACACAGCATTGTATACTGTAAGAACATTGGCAAACCCCTCTTAGAACAGCTATACAAGCGGAATGGGCACACCTAATAGGACACTTCAGTCATTTGAGAGGTTGTAGAAGGGCTGCAGGTAACAGTTATGCAACAAAAGTGTAAGCCTCTTGCAGCCGCTATAGGACATTTGCGTCAGTGCAAGATTCAGTTTTTGTCAACTATACAACTATTCTGTTACGTGATTCTACTTTATTGCAACCAAACTATTTATGTATTGTATAGACGAAGTGAATAATATATAACTGACACATTAGTCATCTTGTTTACTTACATATCGGCCATTGTGAATTTCATACACAGGTAGGGGAGACTCGGGCAAAAGGAACCACTTTAAGTTGTCAACTTTTTAAATCGTTTACTAAATTCTAATTATTATTTTTCTTATGGGCAATAAAACTCTATTACATTTAGAAACATAATATAATTATGTTACGAATATATAATTATTGTAATATATCTTAAAAAAACGTTAAAACAAAAGTTGCTTTTGATTCCTTTTGCCCACATATGAGGGCAAGAAGAACCAATGCCTTGGGCAAAAGGAATCAGCATATGAAATACATATGGGCAAAAAGAACATTACTTCAAACATAACTAAAAGTAGAATTCTATTAACAATTCTTTATTTCAAGGAACTCAAAACTGATAACTTGCATTTGTCGCAAATATAGACACCTCTGTTGTAATCAGCACATAATTGATGAGCCCAGTTTTGACACATATTGCACTCAATCCATGTTTCGCCAGGTCTAGAGTTGCCAAAAGTATCTCCACAGACGAGGCATGGTACATTTTCTTCATTGGGGTCCGTTTTATGTACCGGTGGCTGCGGGTACTGCAATTTAGGTTGATCCAAATTTGAACTGCTAGGTTTCTTTGCACGTTTCATTTCATCTGGCAATTTGGTCTTGGGTAATTTTTTATTTTCTGATTTCTCAACTCTTCTCTAATAGGTGTAGATGTTAAAATTTCTGACTGGCAAAGGCTGAATTGCAGTTAATGGTATAAAATAATTTGAATTTTCGTAAGTGGATTGGAAGGAGCACGATGGAATAGGAAAAGAACGATTCTCTTTCCCATGATTCTCATTTTCAAGAGAGCAGAGGGATATAGGCGAATGAGGAGGTGTGCGATTACGTTACGCTGTGTGTCTTCAGCAACTTCATGCCTCGAACATGACGGAATAGGTGAACTTGGAGATGCAGATTGATCATTACTAGCGGCAAGGTTTTGAGCCTTGTTGGCATCATATTCCTTTTCTGTGACTTGAGAAGGAACAACATCCAAGTCACTAAAAACATCAATATTGCCATCGAGTATTCCTGTCTTTTTGAATCCACTTATTGCATTTTGAGGAGTAGCGCCATGTAAATAAGCAGATCCAAGTATTGCTCCTAATTCGTAGAAAGTAATATGTTGTGCAGGATGTTGCTTTTGCCATTTATCAACCTCTCTTTCAAAATATGTTCCAATGGGCCCATATACCGCAACATCAAGCGGCTGTAATTTGTTTGTGGTATGTGGAGGAACAGAAAGGATTACTACATTGTTTGCAGAAGCATAGTCCAACACTTCCAAATATCGATGTGAAATATGATTATCCAATATAAGTAAACATTTATGTTCTG